CTTTCTTTCTTTCTTTCTTTCTTTCTTTCTTTCTTTCTTTCTTTCTTCTTTCTTTCACCACACTGATATGATCCCAGATCTCAAAGTCAATTTGCTGTCCATGATGGCTGGTATTCAGAATCCCTGTCTGTGGTGGGTCATAGAATGCCTGATTTCTATATTTCTTTGCTGATCACAGTCTCATTGGGGCTGTGCTATGGACCACTGAATCTGCCCTCCTAAGCCCAAGTTACCATCAGGAAAGGAAGTGAGTCAGGGCTTGGAGGCAACTGGGGAGTGGCTTATCACAAACTGCCAGCTTACAATCCTCAGGAAGGAATGAGGGCCACTGGCCTGGACCACAGCACCTCCTGGGGGCAGCCTGCCTTCCATGTTCCCCTCAGTCCTGTAATGCCCTCTTAACTTTCAGACCCAAAGTCTCATGGCCTCTACAGATTCCTGGCTCCCTGGATAGGTAAGTACATTTAACCAGGACTATAGTCCACCTTCCTGTTTGCCAACAACTATCCATTTGGCCCAGATAAAACAAGACTGTAGTGACCGGCACCAAAGTCACACCCTCAACTCTGAAGTGAGCCTCGTTTCTCTTCTTCTGAAAAAACTCTCACCTCTGGATGTCTGGGAGGCTCAGTAGGTTGAGGATGTCTCTTCATTTTGGTTCAGGTCATGATACCAGGGTCATGGAATTGAGCCCCACATGGGCTCCACACCTAGCTTGGAACCTGATTAAGATTCTCTCTTTCTGCCTCTTTCTGCCCCTCTCCCTGGCTCACCATCTCTCCCTCTCCCTTTTCTCCTTCTCTCTCTCAAAAAAATACCTTCACCCCTTCCTAATGGTGGGGAGAGCTCTCCTGCAGCTCAGCTTCTTTCACATCACTTCACAGTCCTCGAGAATGATCTCAGCCTGACTTTTCACTGAAGTCCTTCTATGACCTGCGACCTGCTCGGTTTCAGCCTTGATCTCTCAGCTGTCATGACCACTTGCTGTGACCCAATACTTGCGTGGTCACCTTCCTGACATGCACTGGCCTTCCCAGACTTGCCCAGGATGCCCTTCTTCTCACACCCTGGGTTCCTCCCAAATTCCTAGACGACTCTTGGGAGTACCTCTCCCCACACACCCCCATTGTGGCCCAGGGTATGGTTTGCTCCTGTTGAATGGTCAGATGTGGTTCCAACACCGGCGGATGCTGACCCCAGCCTTCCACTATGGCATCCTGAAACCCTACGTGGGGCTCATGGATGACTCTGTCCGCGTGATGCTGGTAAGTCCGTCCCGCGCTCACCTGCACACTCACACCCATAGCACAGTTCTCAGAGCCCACTCTCAGGCATGTGTGTCCCACAGACATCCATCAGGCACAGCACTTATATCTTACTAGGAGACAGGGCTCCCCAGGGTGGATGGGACAGGAAAGTTCCAGGCACAAGCTTGCCTCCACTCTGTGCTCATTGCCAACAAAAGAGAGAGTCATGGTGGATCCAGGGTCCATTCTCCTCCCCACTTAATGTCTTTGGCTTGGATAGGAAGAGCAGTCAATCCCCCTGGACAACAGGACAAGTGACCCTGGCTGGCCTGGCAGTAGCAGCTTCAGGATGTCACTGACATGGGCTCTGGGCTGGGGCTGAAGGTTTCTGCATGGATTTTAGCCACTCCACGGAGGGAAATGGAGACCAGGTCTCAACCCCCAGGCCTGGGTTGCACCATCATACCACCTCTGGGCAGAACCTTATTTCTCACTAACTGTGCTCAGCTGACATTTGATGAACAAAAGGAAATGTGGTCCCTGATATCCCTTCCTTAGGAATCCTGGTACTGATCCCTTAGCCTTTCTCCTGCCTTGACGCTTGCTCCCTAACGTGGGACTTGACTTGTTTCTTTTGTCTAGATCAAATGGCAGAAAACGTCCACCTTTTGGCCCTCAGAAACATTTTGTGTTCTTCTAAAAGGTGGTTAGTGCCATAACTTGCTCCTAAGTTAAGAGAGATCATGATTAATTACATAGCAAAAGTTTCTGTGAAAATACTCATCACATTACAAACACTTAGTTGCTATATTTCCTAAAATGCTAAAAACACAGCCACTTTAGAAAGAGAGGACATCCCATCAGAAGAGAGAGCCTAGCCTTGTCAGCATGGGCCTTCTGGAGGAGTAGAGGATTAATGTGTCCCTACACCACAGGACAAATGGGAGGACCTCATCAGACAGAACTCATATGTGGAGATCTTTGAGCATGTCTCCTTGATGACCTTAGACACCATTATGAAGTGCGCCTTCAGCTACCAAGGCAGCCACCAAGCAGACAGGTCAGTGAAATTCTCAGGCACCAGGCCCTATTTCCCACCAACTGGCGTGGACTTATCCTGGGAGGTAGGTAAGGTAGCTTGGGTGTTTCCCATCAACAACAGCAACATTGTGCAGAGAGCTCCAGGCCACAGTCAAATTCAGCCCACACCACACCTTCATTAGGCACAGATCCCTGATCCTTGCCACAGGGAAAAACTTGGCTGTCTATGTCCCTTGCAAAGGGCTGAGGGTCTCAAGAGCATAAGAAAGAAATGGTGAATGCTTCGGGTACCTGTCCCACTGACTGAGAAACCCTCACCCACAGCCCCAATCCACTCCAGGGCAGATGCCTGCCACCATTTAGGCCCTTTTGCATCCTTCCCATTCAGGATCTCCCAGTCCTACATCCAGGCCATTCAAGACCTGAGCAACCTGTTTTTTTCCCGAGTGAGGAATGTTTTCCACCAGGATGACATCATTTATAGGCTGACCCCTGAAGGCCGCTGGAACCACCGGGCCTGCCAGATTGCCCATCAACATACAGGTTGGACTCTGGCCCCTAGGCAGCTCGCCTCCTTCTTCAGAGACATCCCAAAGGGATTGGCCCCAAACACTCAGGCAGAGCTCTGTCCCTCCAAGGCCCCTCCAGAGGTTGGGACACACCCACACTGGGTACCCCCCTGGTGCAGGTTTTAGGATGCCAGTGCTGTGCCTGAGCTGATATTTGTCATCACGTGGGGGAAGGTTGAATGAGACTCCCTGCCAATGGCATTCAAACAGTGTCTCTCTGGGATGTGCTGTTGAGTGGCGACCCAACCCGCAAGCACATGGTGCTACAGCTCTCACCCTGACACGTACACCTATTACCACTCTCCTCCTGATCCAAATGGCACCCAGGCTGGGACAGCTGGGGGTAGGTGGGCCAAGGGGGTAGCTGTATCTGGGCACCCAGAGCTCTCAGCTCTGCCTGGGAACACTGTTCTGGGACAGACCAAGTGATCAAGCTGAGGAAGGCTCAGCTGCAGGAGGAGGGAGCTCTGGAGAAGGTCAGGAGCAAGAGGCACTTGGACTTCCTGGACATCCTCCTCTTTGCCAGAGTGAGTGTGAGCAGGGGAGGCATGAGGCTTTGCCCACAAGCTTGGAGGGAGGGGCAAACTCTGACATGTCACCATTTCCTCTCAGACGGAGGACGGCAGCAGATTGACTGACAAGGACCTCCGCGCCGAAGTGGACACGTTCATGTTTGAGGGCCATGACACCACAGCCAGTGGCATCTCCTGGATCCTCTATGCCCTGGCCACACACCCTGAGCATCAGCAGAGGTGCCGGGAGGAGGTCCAGAGTCTCCTGGGGGATGGTACCCACATCACCTGGTGAGTGCTCACGAGATGGGATTGCCCAGCCCACTCAACTGGAGAATTTCCTGCTTGGCAGCATCTCGCCTGTCCTTCAGGGTAGCTTCGTTTCAGGGACCACCTAGACCAGATGCCTTACACCACCATGTGCATTAAAGAGGCACTGCGACTCTACCCACCAGTTCCAGGCATTGGCAGAGAGCTCAACAAGCCCATCACTTTCCCTGATGGACGTTCCTTACCCAAAGGTATGAAGGTCACCACACTCACACAGCAACACTCTGCAGGAACACATGGGACGTCAGTGGTCCACATGTCATGTGGCAGTTCTCAATCACTCTGGTCATCTTTCATCCATAAATGGACACTTACTCTCTGGTTTGGATGAGGAGAGAAAATGCCTGACACAGAGCCAGAGCACTGCCAAAGTGTCATAAAGGTTACTTCCCCTTCCTATCTA